GTGGACACCCCATCACAGGTGTGTACAAAGAGAGAGCCCCCCCCCCCCCGATGTTTTGGACATTACATAAAACTCGGCAATTGCTAAACGTGAACCCTGACCAATCAAAGACATAAAGCCCCCAAACCAGAGTCCTGCCCAGAGCCCCAGGGTGAGCGTACTCAGCTGGGAGGCGAGAGACCTGCGTTCAAGACCCCAGTCTGCCTGATTGGCAGCAGAGACTTGACGGTGGGTCTCCTGCATTACAGCTGAGTGCACTAATCACTGGGCTACGGGGTACTCGGGGTGGGGCTCTGTCTCTCTCCTGTGGAACTGTTCCCCATCGAATAAATACAAACGCATTGAGTGGGCAGAGCGAGCGTGCGAGTGTCTCAACCAGCTGGGGGTTCAGGCACTCGGGGAGGCGGTGGGGGAGACACTCGGGCTCCGGTCCCTGAGCCGAGGAGCAGTTTTGATTGACCCAAAACTGCATTTCTGAGCAGATAAACTCTTGCCCCACTCTATGCGTGTCTCCTGACAACTGTCTGGCGTTGCTGCGGTGACGAGGGAGAGACGTTTGGGTGTAACCCTGGTAACTCTGTGTCACTCCTCTGGGCACCGCAGTCAACATCCTTCCTGCCCCAGAGTGCAACTGTCTCGCTTGGGTGCCCCTCTGCTCCAGGACTGTCGTCAGTAGGGTTGGTGTGCTGCTGTCCTTCTTATGCATTTTGAGTGCCCATCACCGTGGCTTCCAGGCCTTGGCCTATTGCAGATCTCCCCGGGCCACCAGCCAGGGAGAGGCAGAAACACCAGGTGGAGATGCACAGCTGCTTCCAGTGTCATGGGCCATAGCTAAGGTGTGCTTAGCCCAGCCGTGCTGCTGTCTGGGAGGAGCTGCTGGAGAGCTCTCCTTGGGTGCTCTCTCCTGGCACAACTGTCTGGTGACCCCCTTTGGCCTCCCCATTGGGAGGCATTGCAAGCGGGGGAGGACTGTGGACACTTCCTTGCTCTGGTTGGTTAGTTGGACTCCACACGCCTTCCTCTCACTTGGGAGCGGGTCAGAAAGTGACCAGCAGGCCGGAAAGGCCTGGTGCTGTGCTCGCCTCTGCCACTCCCTCCCGCCTGCTCCAGGCAGTGGTGAGGTTTCCATCACCCTTCCCATGCAGGGACGGCTGCTTCGTCCATGGGCTCTGGCCATTTCATATCCAGGCCGGAAGCTCCTGAATATTGCAGTAGCTGCCACATCTGCCCTACAGCCAGCTAAGGACGCTCCCTCTCCAGTTCTTGCCTCTGTCCTCACCGGATCAGACCACCAGCCCCTCTCATCTGGTAACCCTGCCTTCCTTGGGTCAGGGCACTGGTTCATCGCACTACTCCTGCTCCCCTGAAGCAGACCAATGGGCCCTGGTCTTCGTTATCCCAATAAATAGGTCAGACCAGGGATCCGCCTAGCTCCCCCAGCCCCCTCCAGACCATTGGCCCTGGCTGTGGTGCAGTCCAACCACCCTCCCCCCCCAGCTGTGTGAGTGTCCACCCACCCATAATGCACCCTCGGGATGTGCCTGGGGCAGAACTCCCCTCCCATGGCCCCATACAGGCTCCTCCAGCACAGGCCTTTGGGTGGAAGATGGGGTTTTCTCCAGACCCAGGGCAGGGGAAGGGCTGGGAGAGGACAGCCAGGCGCTGCCTATTCCTGGATCCACAGTCTGAGAGACCTGGGGGGTGGGAGGAAGGTGAGCGGTGCTCTGCCAGTGAGGGAGCGCAGGCTGCTGCCCATTCCCTCATGGCGAGGTCCGGACTCGGGTGCACCAGGCGTGGTCAGACCGCAGCCCTGAGGGGTCTGCTCTGGGGCCTTGGAGGGTGGGGGGTACAGTATGGGGAGGGGGGGGGGTTGGGGCAGAGCTGGGAGCTCCTGGCTCCATTCGTGGCCCACTGTAAACACCCTGTCTGGCTGGGTACTTCCAGCAGGCCAGGCTGGGGCCCTACATACATCCAGGGGCGCCACAGCTGCCCTGCGTGCCCCCAGCCCCGTAGGAGGGAGCCGGGGCTGGGAGCTGGCGGGGGGGGAGTGCGTGTGACCCAGCCCCGGCCTTAGCAACAGCTTGGGCTAAACTCCCGTGAAATCGCACCGACTGCCTGGGCTTGTGGGGGAAGGGTGGTTAACCCCAGCCCAGGCGTGCTGCAACGGGGCTGGAGGTGGGAAGTGAGCTACCGGCTGGGGGGCTCCCCGTAGCTCCCTGCAGGCGGCCTGCCTCTGGGGGAGGGGAGGGTGCCGGCTCCCTGTCCCTGCCTGTCTGTCAGTGCTGCGGAGCGTGGGAGTTCCTGGTGCCCCGTTCTGTGCGCTGCTCGCTCTATATAAGGGTTACAGGCTGTAGCAGGGAGGGGCTGGGTGCCGTAAACAGCAAAGTGCCACTGCAGGCTGGCTGGGTCTCCGGTGTGGGGAGGAGCAGTGCCAGACCCTCCGGGACGGAGCCGCACTGACCCACAGCTGGTCTTGCCCAGCTCCTCAGCCCACCCTGCATGCAGCCTCCAGGGCTTGATTCCTGCCCACGTAGGTACCTGGTTCCTGCTGAGCCTAGTTCTGACCTGCTGTGCGGCTTGCGTGTGGTCCCCTCGGAGGGAATGGGAATGAGGTGATTTCACGGTGTGCCTGAAAGGAGGGGGATCCTCAACAGTGGCACAGCCCTGTGAGATCCCCGAGGGCGGCAGTGATGGGCAGAGTGGGGGTGGCGAGGGGGGTCCCTGATCAGCCACTAGCAGGTGTAGGTAGAGAGGTTGGTGCAGCCATCAGAGGCCAGCCCCCGCAGGGGCTACAGAAGGAAGAATGTGGCCAGTGCTGCAGCCTGTCTCTCCTGGGTCAGGAAGGGACAGGTGCCAGCAGGCAGCCCGAGGTCCCTGAGCAGCGCTCAGAGCTGGTGCTGCTAGCCGGGCTTGGTTGTAAAAAACCAGACTAGGGGCCAAGCAGCCCTGGGCTTCTGGCTTCAGGAGCTGCTGCTGCTTGCAGTCTCAGCTGGCCCCCGCTGCTGTCTGGTTAGTAACGTTCCTTCCTGCCCCAAGCTCACGCAGACATGCTGGCCCGGCCCGGCCCCATCCTTTAGCCTGCAGCCGGTGGAGAAGCGACGGGTGTGGGTGTGTTGACTGGGTCCCATGTTGCATTGCATCTGGTGACCGGGGTGCGCTACGGGAAGCTGGACATCTGAGCCGGGTCTGCCCTAGGACTGTTGTCCATTATGCTATCTCCATGGCGTGACACACCTAAAATGCAGCTGCCTCTGGGGTAGGACATGCAGATTCGAACAGCTCGCGGCAATGCTGCACGAGAGCTTGGGGGGGCGACGTGAAGAGCTGTAAGTGCAGGGGGGAAATGGGGATGTAGAGTGTCATTGCCCAAGTCTGACCTGCCTGTTCTCCCCTCCGCTGGCTACGTCAGAACGGACGCACGTCATCAACACCTGGGTTTTAAGTCCTGTGAACGGCGGCACCCCCAGCTGTGTAGTGCCCCTAGCACCGCACTGCCTTGGCGGGATGATCGACCCTGCTGAGTTACTAATGCTACTTCCCGGAGGGCCTGGATATTCCTCCCATCCAAGCCCTGGCACCCTGGGCAGAATCCCACCCCTGCAGCACTCCTGGCATCCCAGTTCTCCATCCCCAGCCAGGTGGGGGATGAGCGTAGCCTGGAGGTGTGGACAGAGCCTGCACACCTCTCGCACCTCCACTAGCTCCGTCGCGCTCTGGGTGGGGGCTCGGAAAGGGGCTGGTATTTCCATCTGGCCATCGCCCTACTGCGCTTTAGATCCACGGTCAGCCTGCTGCAACGTGGCTCTGTCCTCGCGAGTCTACATAGCACTTCTGTGTATCTTCCCCTCTGCTTCCTAGGTTCGGGAGGCCGGGAAGCCAGCAGGCCAAGCTGAGCCGTGGCAGTAGTTGAATTCCCTTCAGTCTTGCCCCCGCTCCGCTGACGGTGTTTCTGGTGCTGGTGCACAACCAGGGGAGTGAGCGGAAAGGCCGGGTTCATTTCAGGCACCATTAGAAAAGTGGGGAAGAGCTGGCTGGCTGCTTGTCCAGCTCCTGCGCTGCGCTGGGTGCCGAATGTGAGAGCGTAACACCAGGCCCTGTTCCTGAGAACTTCCAATCCCAGTGACGGAGCCAAGGAGCTGGGATGTACCCGGACGCCTGGGGCAAGGATACTTTTGGAAACGTCCTTGTATCTTTCCTATGACGTCTTACTGTGGGCATTGCCTGTAGGCCACTAGGATCTGGGGCTTTTTCACCATCTTGTTTCCACTCTGATCCCATGTGTCGGGAAGGGCTGTGTACTCTGTGCATCTAGGGTACTGGTTCCAATCCGGTGGGGTGGGGACTGGCTGGCTCGGGTAGGGAACGGAACACGGGGCATTTCCCCTCTAGGCGCCACCGGCTCTAATCCAGCCCCAGGTTGGGAGATTGGCTTCCAGCTCGCCTGGGTTTGAATCAGGTTGGTCACCGCCTTTGGGAGGCCCAGCGGTCCCAGCGCTTGGGTGTAACACACAGACGTATTTACCTACGCCCAGCGGGACCGATCTCCGCAGCCCCCAGACAGTCACCTCCACTGGCCCCCTTGCTGGGAGCCTCCGCAGGAGCGAGGCCAGCCACTGAATGAGCCAGCGCTGGCACTCGCTTCTCTTTGCCCAGAGGGTCGTTCCTTCCAGTCCTGACGCGTGGCTGGGGTGTCTGGCCTGCTGTGGTCTGCTCCGTCTTCTGTCCTGGGCACTCAGTGCACCCCTTCCAGTGGCACCGAACTCACAGGGGGAAGCAATTTGAATTTGCCCAGTGGAATAGGACACACTAAGGGACTTGCTCCCTCCGAGCTGCGCCTGGTGGGCTGCCTCCTTTCGGGAGGGGGTGAGCTGTGGAGGGTAGAGTGTGTTGTGTCAGCCAGGCTGTGTGGGGTGCTCTGGGGCTGAGTCTCTGTCTCTCCACCCAGGTGCCATGTCTGACGTGCTGGTGGGATTGTGAGCGTGCAGCCATAGCGATGCTGCGTGGGGTCCGCCTGCTGCTGCCCTGCAGTCCTGCCTAGCCCATGGAGGGTGCCTTGGAGCAGGTGAGCGCTGGCTGAACGCAAGGCCTGCGGTCTGTGCGCCGGCCGAAGCTGGTAAGGATCCATCCTGACTTGCCCCCAGCATGGACAGGCTTCTTGCTTTGCATCAGACGATGGGGCCTTTTATTACGGGGAATGCCAGGTCCGATGGGCCAGCAGGTGCCCCTTGAGGCTGTGTCCCAGGCAGCACGGCATGTCAGCCACGGGTCCTGTAGTGGCAGGTCTCCACCCACCCAGTGAATCTTCTAATGCCCCCGGCCCTGCTGCTTCCCCCACTCCCTGTGGCCTGGCCTCTCCTCGCCTCTCCTCCTCCAGCCCCCAGCCCCCAGGTCTAGGAAGAGGGAGCTTCCTGTCCCCACCAGTGCCTATGAATCTCAGTGGAAGGGTAGCTCTAGGCTCCGTGCCCTGGCCTCTGTTATAGGCGAGGGGGCTGTGGGCTGCACATGGGCCAGCCTGGTTGTGTCGCCTGCCCCAGGTGCCCGTCTGTCCAAGCGTTCCACCCCCTGCTCCCTCTGCCAGCGTCAGCGGGTACAGAGTCGCGTTAACCCTCCCTCTCCTTCCCCATTAGTGCTGCTGCTGACCAGGCCCGAGAGCCAGCCAGGCCCCTGCGGTGATTTGGAGGCAGAGCCCGACGCCCGTGATGGTGGGAGCCATTCCTCGGCAGCCGCGCCGCTTCTGGGGGGTGCCCGGATGGCAGGTGTCTCCAGCTAGCTGTGCCAACGACCGTCTGCTGCTGGGGCAGGAGAGCTGCTCGGCGAGGGGTGGGTGGTGAGTGCCCAGCCGCGGCCTGGGCAAGTGATCGGGGAGATGACGGCTTGGCAGCCTGCACTGGCTTCTAAAGCAAAGGGGTACTGAGCATTTGCTTGCTCCCTTGAGGCCAGGCTGGCCTGCCCGGCTCTTGTGTTAGCTGAGGCACGACCTGGTGTGTGTCTGGCCTTGTTCCCCATGCGTTACAGCGCTGACTGGCCCAGCCAGGGACTCCTCTGAGTCCCAGCACGGTCCCTGCGGGGCGGCATAGACTCCTGTAGGCCTCAGCAGCCTCCTCTCCTCTGGGGCTTGGTAACCCTCCCCCGCCTCCAGGCTGCAGGGCTTCTGGAGAGCTGGCCCGCGCTGCTCCTCCTGCGGGCCTGGCCCTGGGCGGGGGAGACCTGGGCTAGGGCAGTCTGTGGGCCTCTGCACCAACTTGCTGGGCCGCCTGGGGCAGGAGCGGAGCCTGAAGCGCCAGGGAGGGGTGGCTGGGCCGGGTCCCAGAGGCTGATCCCCTCCCCTCTGCTCCCCACAGATGCGGCGCTGCAGTGCACTCCATAGCGGAGGGCTTGTCCGGAGGGAAGGGGTCTGACACACCACCCCCTTTCTTCAGCCCCGTGACCTCGTGACACCGTACACCCCTTCCCTGGCGCTTTATGGGCTGTTTCGTCTTTGGCTCTGGTTGGGGTCCAGCCCACTAAGGCTCCATGCGGCACATCCATGCTGAGGCGTCCCTCCCCCAGGAGCATGGCACGGACTCGGGCCTGTCCCGGCCAGGCAGCCAGGCGGCCTTGGAGCCCGCCCCAGAGCGCTGCCCCCGCCGCAGCATCGTGATGGGCTACAACAAGACAGAGATCAAGCGCCAGAAGGTTTACCAGGTCTCCATCTTCTCCCACCTCTCCAGCTCCTCCGAGCCGGCAGACCAGAGAGCTGGGGGTGGGCGGCAGGCCATCAAGAGAGGGTACCCAGAGCAGTGGGCTCCGGAGGCTGGGCGGGATCCCAAGCGAGCCCACTGGGGGGCTACGGGGGCTGAGGCCAGGCAGGACGGGGTCCCTGGGGAGCTGCCCCCTGGCCAGGACTCCCCAGACGATGACGCCTTGGAGGACGGGCTGCTGGTGGAGGAGCTGTCCCTTTGCGGCTCGGCCCAGCACTTCTCCCACAGCGGCCTACGAGTGGTGGAGCACCGATGTGAAGGCAGCCCTGGCCGGGCAGGGGCCCGGGAGGGCAGCCCCAGGGCCTGCAGAGAGGACAGATGGCGGGAGGCTGCCTCCTCCTGGCCACAGCACACAGCTTGCAGCACTTTGCACATGAGAGACAGTCGCCCTGCCCAGCTTGGGGATGGCCCCCTGGGGAGTCCCAGAGCCTGTGGCTCAGTGGGGGGCAGGGAGTTCCCCTGGCTGGCGGGAGCCAGGGAGCAGCCTGCGGAGGGGAACGGGGCCCAGAGGGAGGAAAGGGCTAGCAGCCAAAATCTACTTGACATTGATTTGCACAATATTGCACAAAAATCCTGGGCAGCCTCGGGTGGGAGGGGGGAGGAGCAGCCAGGGGGCAGCCCCGCCCACAGCAACGGGGCTGGTAGAGAAGGGGAGCCGCTGACTGGGCACAAGGAGCCCAGCACCCCACAGGTGGCCCCAGACCCCGAGAGCAACGGCCTGGGCTCCTTGGAGAAAACGCCCTGTGTGGGCAGCAGGCTCCCCGGGGCCGGCGGGGGCAGCTGCGCAGCTAAGAGGAAGCTGCTGCCCTCGGGCGAAGGCGTGGCGGACTCGTGTTCGGAAGACGAGAGCGTGGTGCCGGCGAGGAAGAAGAGGGTCCCGCTGTGCCACCCCATCCTGACTGCCTGCCGCAGCACCGACGCCAAGGGCGCCCCCTTCTGGAACCACCTGCTTCCAGGAGCCAAGGTGAGCGCCTCCTGCAGGGCTGGGGCGGGAATGGTGGGCCTAGAGGAGCTGGGGAAGGGGTGAGCGAATGGGAAGCCAGTGAGGGGCTCGCTGATGGGGTGGGGGCCATTGGTAGGACGCTGTGGAAGGGCGGTGTCGGGTCAGTAGGGAGCTGGGGAAGGGGCTGGACCATAAGGTGTGTCCTGTCCCCCCCTTCCCACTGACCGGTGGCTGGAAGAGTCCAGGGTGCAGGGCTCGTCTGCTGACTCCACCCGTAGCAGGGTTTGGAGCCTGGCTTGCAGGTCTCTGCCCCCTGGCAGCATTCGGCCTGCAGTGAGAGCTGCCTGGCCATGGTGCCTGGACCCTCTCCAGCTCCCTGGGGGCATGTGGGGGAAAGAGCAGCATTGGTGGAGTGGGAGAGGCGGCAGCTGGAGCCGGGGGGTGCAGGAGAGTCTGAGGATCCCGGAGCCCCGAGAGCAGCAGGCGCCTGTGGTGTGACGCTGCCTGGGGTGGGCGCTTTGTGGCAGGGCCTATCTGTGCGGAGGGGCAGCCCGCGGGTTCTCTTCTAGCCGTTACAGACGCAGCAGGAGCAGGGGCTTCCCAGAGCCCGGTAACCTCCTGCTGCTCCCTGGGGCAGACAGAGCCCCTCCTGGCCGACTGCAACAGGGCTGAGCTCGGCCTCTGAAGCTTCCTGCCCTGAGCCTGGGACCTCCCCATCTCGGTTCCTGGTTTCCCCAGAGCCCGGGGCGAGCCCCCCGATACCCTGCTTGTCACCGTGAGTCAGCCAAATCCTGTGCCCAGTCTGGCTGTCCTGGCACCCCAGTGCCTGGTGGGCCTCTGCGCTGTGGGCCGGGCACAGTCGCCCCTGCAGGTGCCTGTTATGGGGGTTGGCTGCCCCGGGGCAGGAGTGCAGAGAGAGGCCCCCCTTCCCCAGGCCAGGACTGCCTCTCCCGCCGTCTGTGCGGTTCCCAGCATGGGGCTCCCTCTGCCAGGCAGAGGCTCAGGTGCCCTGGGGGTGTGTGACCATGCTGTGCCCCGAGTGTGGGAAGGGGGCCCGGAGACCCCTTGCCAGGGGACAGCCTGAGTCCTCGGCCGTGCTTCCCGTCCCAGATTTGCTCTCTGCCAGTCCAGCTGCTCCCTCCTATGCTCAGGGTGGCCCAGGCTGTCGGCTCCTCTCCATTCAGCTCACTAGCCGTCTCCCTGTCAGGTGGCGCTGAGTGGACAGGCGCCCCCCATCTCTGGCAGGCCTGCCGCTTGCAGTGACTCCTAAGGCCGGGGGATAGATGTGCTGGTGCAAGGACTGATGTGTGCTCTGCCCCCAGCTGGCATGCACGCAAACACGCCTGACACATACACAAACATAGGTGCTGGGCGCACGCACCCTAGTGCTTGTCAGGAGCACGAGGCCAGCTAACCACATCCCCACTCCGTTCTGCCCTGCTGCTGCCCGTTGCAGCCTGGCACATGTCGATTGCAATCCTTGGGCACTCTGAGGTGTGAACAGCCTCGCGCCCGTCCCCATCAGCCCAGCGACGTTCCCGACTCCCTGGCTGTTCCTTATTGGAGCCGTTTCCCAGCCCCCCAACCCCCCGCTCTCGGAGTGCTCCCCTCCAGCCCTGCTCTCCGCCCCATTCCAGGCAGCCGCCTATTGTCCAGCACCCTGGAACCTTCACCCCCCTTTCACACAGGCTGGGGGCTGGCTGGCTGGCTCGTGGCTCTGTTTTGTGCTGCCCTTTTGTGTCTCTTCCAGAAGGTAAAATGCCTAGAAAGGCGAGTGCCCTTTATAAAGGGGGTCGGCCACTCCCAGCTGGTAGCTCAGCCTAGGTTTGGCTGCCCGTAACCTCTCAGGGCTCAGCCCAGGGGCTGCTGGCTGTGGGGAAGGTGGGCCACGCAGCTGTGTCTGCTGGGCATTACTGGGGACCTGGCATGAATCACCTGGGACTGGCTAGTGACCCAGAGATGCCAGGGCCCCTCCTGGTAAGTGGCATTCCAGGCCTGCCTGCAGCGTCGGCCCCTGGGGATGTGTTCTCTGTGTGTGTGTGTAGGTGAATGGAGGGCATAGGGGGCATTCAAAGCCCAGCTGCATGCTGACGATGTCGCAGTGCCTTTGCTTGCCCTGTAAATGTGTGGTCCAGGGCTCTGGGCAGCTTGGGGGAAGTACCTGTCAGAGCTGTGCCGGCTCGCGGGGCGCTGGGCCTGTTAATACGTTGCCGGTATGCCTGCAGCCGGTGGGGCTGGGACACTGCCCGGGGAGAGAGGAGGGGAACTGTCAGACACCCTCGGCTGGGCCTGTACCTGGGACATGCCCTGCCAGGGCCTTGGCTATCCTTGGTGCCTGACACAGACTCCTGGGAGCAGCAAAGTTCACCGAAAGCCCCTTGGGATCGGTGGGGTAAGCCCACCGTCCACCCAAAGAGAGGCAAGGGTTAAATCTCCCCCTCTGGCCCTGGCGGTGGATTCCCTAGCTGGAGATTTCCAGTGGCTCCGTGGTCTGGCTGGCAGGAGCCGTGGCCTCTGCTGGTGGCTGAGCTAGCCGTAGCCATGGGCTGTGGTAATGCCCAGGAGGGGACTCCCGGAGTAACGGGGTGAAGCGAAGAGGGGGAATGAGCTGCCTCTCATGCCGGAGTCCCGGCCACTGGGAGAACCAGGGTTGGACCCAGCCCTGGAGAATAGAGTGCAGGGCCTGAGGGGTGGGCCTGGAGAGGGGGGGTCCCCGACATCTCTGTTGCTGTGGGAGCCCTGCTGCATTGACCTGGTCCCTGTGTGTATGGGGGAGGGAAGGGGGAGACTGCAGTTTGGTGTGGGGACTCTGAGGGGATGGGGGAGCTTGTAGCTCTAATGGGCAGTCAGGGATGGTCACTCAGGGCCAAGGCAGCCCCAGTGCCAGCCCCTGGCCATTCTCCCCCCGTCTCTCTCATCTAGGGAAGGGGTGGGGAGTGGGCCCAGCAGACACCACCCTCTGCCACCACCATGCAGCCACCTCTGAGTGGAACATGGCGGCTGCTTAATGATGCGCACAGGACATGAGTGACAGTCCGGTGTCCTGTCGGTAGAGCTGATTGAGGGAGGAGGGGGTGTTCTCGGGGCCAGCTGGGACAGGGAGGTGCTGACGTGTGTGATGGGAAGAGCTGGTGGGTGCGGGCCCTGGACTGGGAGAGGGCTCTGGAGTTGGCCCGTTTGCTGCCCCTAATACAGCTCTTCGGCCTCTTGTCTCCCTAGAGCTCAGCAGGTGGCACTGCGGTGGGGCGAAGGCTAAAGAGTGGGCTGCGCCTGAAATCGTGAGTGTCCTGAGCTGCCTCGTGCCCCTGCTGGGGTCAGGGCAAAGCCGCGGGGGTCCCGGGCACTGTGGGCAAGGGGGCTGCCCCTCTCTTCCCTGGCGCAGGGGTTGGTTCCTGGGGTGATTGCCCTCCCATGCCCAGGCCCCTCTGTTTGGGACAGGGTGCATCCGCACAGACCCTCCCCAGCCCCCTTCCCACCTGGAGTCCCTTGGACCCTTCGGTAGCTGGTGGGTGGATCCTGCCTGCCTCTTGTGGGGAGCTGTGCGCTCTGGG